TAGCATTGCTCTGTCCATGGGCGATTTAAAGACTTGACATGTATCAAGGGGATGGGTTCATGACAGATTAAAAAAAAAAAGAAAAAAAAAAAACTTCCTGCCTACCCAACGATCAACAACTCTTTTTTTTAAAACATGACCTAATTAGTCATAAGTTGAAATTTTTAATGTGTTAGAATTTTCAGAGGTTAGATGTCCCTCTCCTCACTTTGTGTCAGCGAGGCTCAGACCTTTCACCTCTAGAGACCTTAAGAGTATATAAACATATAATAGTTGCAGCATATTAACAAAAAGTGTCTAATCTATGTAGAAACTTCCTATTTCCTATATCTTCAACATGTCACAAATATAAAAATTTCTAAGAGAAATGTACAGTACTTAGTAAGGCCCTATAAACTAATCGCCTTACTTCATCCTACCGACGACGACGACAATAGCGAGCTTTCGAAATGGGCGACGCGGGGAGCTGCGACGGGGTCAGTCAACCATGAACGTCGTGATCAATTATGCAGGCGCCCCCAGCGAGCGCGTATTTATAAAACTCACGTTGCCGTAGTCAGCACAACGCCAAATCGCTTAATGCCCGTTGTCAAATCCACACAACGAACGACTTCCACATGTATTCGCATGCGCAGTACGGTTTCACGCTTTACTGCCCGTCGTAGAACGCCGCGTCGTCCGAATCGAAAGCTGCTTAATGAGGACGAAGAAGACGACGATGATGATAATAATAACATACTTAGATAATCATCTTCATACAAATAAAAAGGAGTTTGGACAGAAGAGGAACCATTGTCATGTTCATTTACCATTCATAATGAAAACATATAAACTATGTCTCTTTCGTGATTAGTGAAAAATTCTTTATATTTATCAAATTGACCAAATATTTGACTACATATCAATCAGTCATTACTGGAATAGTGTGCAATTAATATTGACACGCTGTCACACCATTTTTTCATAATTACTTTCCAGTAGAATAATTAATCTAATATAAAAATATGTTTTAATCTACAATCAGGGCTATGGTAAAGCAAAACAATACAAACACTGTAAATTCAAATATAGTATTTTTGCCTTTTGACATTGACAAATTTTTGGATTATGGCTTTACAAAAATTACCATTGGTGGAGAAGAAATGTAACGTATGAAAGGTGTGATCATGGGGGTATAAAAAAATACCTCCATGGTGTGATGAAAGAAAGCGACGGTAGTGGATGGACCTCGTCCAGATCGTACTTCAAAGTTGCAGAGTGAATGAGTGTACATGAATGATTTTGGAAGGAAAAAGCTATGACGTGTGTGGCTGAACCGTGTTCGGTTGGTTGAATTATATTAGGAAAAGAAAACAATCAACAACTGTCGATCAATAGTTGACTCATAAAAAACGGACTTATTGTTAGTCAACTGTAATATAATTAAAATCAAACTGTCAATGGAACAATATTATCAAAACCAATTATGTGAATAGTGGTTTAGGCAGCGAGTAACGCGTAACACCCCTGAGCTGTCGAGAGCGAATGGACAAAACGCGATAAAAGACATCTTGTAATTTCACATATTACTCTAATGTTTTATCACTTTTTTTCAGATTCCCTGTTTCTTTTCGCTTTCCATTCTAGCATTGCTGATGTCTATTAACATGTTGTCATGGGCTTCTGATAACATACAACATGGGTACTACGACTACAGGAGAGGCTGTATTGACTGGAGTTGCAACATCACCACACCAACAATTTCTCCCTACGATCGCAACAATACACTAACAACCCCTCAACCTCATTGTTATGATTGTTTGCCTGGTTGTTGTCAAAATGGCAACATTTACAAGGCTGACAAAACCAATAAGGTATATGGGTCACTTAATGTTTCTATGGAAGCCACAATAATCCTGTTAAAAATACAAACATTCTGTTCTTGTATTTCTAGCTGTCAATCTGCATATAATCGGCAAATCAATTTTTCTCTAATCCCTCAATTTTATTAGGATAAATTGGTTTTTTTTGTGAGTTAAAAAAAATCACAAATATCAAAGCAAGATATTATTATTAATAATAATAATAATAATAATAATAATAATAATAATAATAATAATAATAATAATAATAATAACTTGACTTATGTTTGTTTGTAAAACATAACATAGGGCTTTTCCTCATTGTCATAATGAGAAGGGATGCTGAAATTACAAAAAAAAAAAAAAAATGCATTAAAAAAAGTCTAGCGAGAATAATGAAGTTAAAACGCATGAAAACCAACTCTAAATATGACTTCTATTAATATTCAAAATGTGTAGAAAACAAAAGAAGATTTAAGCACAGAAAGTGACCGAAGTGCCGGTCAGAAAACATGGGAAAACTACGGAGCCCCTAAAGGAACATGGTTATAAAAAGATTAAACTATTTCTGTTCTGGATGTTTTTTTTAGCAGCAGCTAGCTCCAATCAGTGAATCTTGAATGTTATATTTCTTGAATATCTAAAAGTATTATACTTCTTTTAAATATTCTAAAACAGGTGTTGCTGGACTCGTTCACTGTGGGATTTGGAGTTTTGGAAATGTTAATCTGCATGGTAACCATAGGCCTTTCTTTCTCTCAATTGAGTTGTTACGTATGTTGCCGCTGCAATTGTTGCCCACGTGCCAAGGTAGGTTCATATTAAACTAAGAAATATAATAGAATTAATGAGGATAATAATTAAAACAAGACTTATAAAGCACTATTATTACAGTACTAGTAAGTGCACTTACCGACTGCAAGCAATGCCTAAGATGCTCAACTATATGCATATTTTTATTTAGAAGGTATAAGTAATGATGATAGGCCTATAGGGAGTTTTCGATGCACGACGTTAACCTTAACTTTAACGTTAGTACCCAACATGCAGTGCGATAGCTCCGCCCCTTCTGTAAACAAATCGAAGTACGCATGCGCAAACCCGTAACTAACGTACTCCGCAACGCAATATGAATAAATTATGACGTTATCCGTTAAAGTTAAGGTAACGTCGTGCATCGAAATTCCCTATTGATTGCTGTAGATTAGATTAGATTTGGTGATGACGATAATGTTGATGTAGAGAACTTCATAACAATGTACGTACTCGAGCGAATAAGCGCCCCGTTTGAATAAGCGCCCCTCTTAACGTTAACATTTTCTTAAGTGCCCAGTTTCAATAAGCGCCCCTCGATTCCTAAAAAAAGTAATCATACTCTACAGTAAGCCTACAGTACATCACTGATTTAAATTTCTGACCGATGTCTCAACTATTCGCATCTCAGCATTGTAGGTCGGTCTATCCGTCCATCATCTGCCGGCCGATCATTCTCCATGAAGTTTAAGATGGTGTTCAGTTTTGTGCATCATTAGAATCCTGTTCTTGTTCTATTGCTACCCTGTACACCATCTTGGATTTAGAACTATATTTTGATATCTAAAAATTAAAATACTTTATGGCCATATACAGAGTTGTTTTTTTTTTAGTTAAAAAAAATAAACTGACCTCAACACTCTCACTTACAAAAATCTTGAATATTTTTATTCATTTTTAAAACAATATTATGTGATTGGTTTTTAGCAAGCTAATAAACTAATCAATTCTGGGACAGTGTTGGGCATGATTTGAGCTGCGGAGTGAATTCACATTTTCTTCTTGTGTCAATTCAAATGGGTTAGCCTCATGGACAGGTGAGAGCTCCCTGGACAGCATATTTCGAACTTTCCTCGCATTACATTTGGCAATGAATCGGTCGGAAAAAACTGGACCTACTTCTCTTTTTCTTTTACAATTTGCACCTTTATCATGTTCTTACCTAAGTTTGCAAGTAACCCTGCCATACCAGCTCCACCACTCATTTCATCTGGACGATTATCTTTTCTGCACCAGAACCATTCGTTTATTTTCGGTTTTCAGACACTCCTATTCATTCATTTCTCCTTCTCCTCCAATATTCATAAAAAGGGAAGACGTTATTAGTCACAAACATCGTATTTGCGCTTGTTCCTTGGTAGCTTCAATATTTTTTTACGTAAAAAATTATTAAAACATACTCTAAATGATTTCACAGTAGCCTCACAAAATTTACTCCACTGAGTCATGCAGTAAACCATTACGCAATAAGTCCTAAATAACTGACATTTAACCTCTTTAGGACACTTGGAAAATGTCCTCGTGTTCGTAAACATAAACGCATAAACTTAAATTTGTTAGAGTAATACAATCTCGATCAATTGCAAATACCTCACAAACATTTGAGATTCTGAAGTCTAACAACAGAGGGAGCTATTAGGGCTGTGCCATCAGCATACAAGACAATTAATAGAGACATCATCAATAGAACAACCATCATTAGTCATTCTGATTTGCAGAGTAAATAGATCATCAATATATAAATTGTATAATAGTGGGGACATAAAACCTCCCGGAAGTACCATTGGTAACAGAAAATGGCAAAGAAATACTATTTCCCCACCTAACACAAAAAATTCTTGATTGCCATACCAAATTCTTAGAAACTTAACTACGGTAACTGGAACACCACTGTCAATCAGGACCCTAAAATACAGTCCAGTGATCCAGGTGATCAAACGCTTTAGATGCATCAAGGAAACAGCAATAAACGGGGCTACAATGATTTTGATAATACTGTACAACTTGTTTTAAAACAAAAATACAAAGATCAATTGAATGGCCGGGTTTAAAAGCAATTTGACAATCGTCAGTGTAAAGTGAATCACCACAGAAATTAATAAGTATTGACTCTACGTCACACTACCAGATTTGCACTTGACAATTGGTACCAACGTGAACACTGCTTGGGATTTACCCAAGATCTTGGGTATTTTGACTTGGTCTTGGTTTCTTGGGTACTTCTGTTCAAATACTGATAATTGATAACACTACTGGCCGACTGAGGGTGTATTTTTCTATCCGTATTAACACCTCATGAATATTAATTTTAATAATTAACAAAAACAATTACAATAAAAATGGTTTATAGAATGAACTAAAAGGGAAACTATACATGTGAAAAACACGTTTTTTTCAAATTTTAATGCATTTTTTTTGGAAGCTTGGGTAATCTTGGGCAATTTTTGTTGAATCTTGGGCAATTTCGACCCAGTCTTTGGGTATAACAAAAATTGTGAGTGGTCACGTTGATTGGTACAAGTACAACCTTGTAGCACGGCTCAATTCATCACTGTCAACAAGTTTCTGCTGGGCGTCATTAGTAGGTGTATGCGAAGATGCACCATGGATTTTCGATGCTGGATTCCGATTTTTCACTAGGTCAACACGATGGGCCCGGGTCAAAACAGCGTCAGCAAAAGATTTGGATGCAATACCACTGGTACAGGCATTCAACAGACTCGCATCAGAAGAAGACATACGCCTATCAACCATATTCATAGATTCATTAACACGCAAACCATTACGTTTTTTATGATCTGCCTTTCAGAGACACCATATTCAGTATACCTTCCATAAGTTGCAGATCAAATTTCATCTTGTTAAAACTCGCGATATAAAGAGGAAGCATCAAGAGCTCCAAGTGGCACAATCGGAATTATAGACAAAATGTCGGAATACTGGCCTCATCAACATTGACAAGAAATGACAGTATATCACTTATATGACAACATCAGGAGTAAAATGTTGCATACAAATCTTGTACCATTTGTCATTCGGAATGGATACATGATTCATAATGAAACACAGCATTTCATCAATAACAATCTCGCTATAGTAGATAGATCATTGACTTGCGTCGAGGACATTAGGACAGCCACCCCTACGATCCCGATCACTCACTGATCAGTCAGCACACCAGTGAAAGGCTTAGCCAAGAAAAGGATAAAAAGCATGTACCAACTTACAGGATCATAAAAAACTACATTCATTCATGTCATCAGAGCTTAAAATCATCTGAGTATCCAACATTAAAACAATATTCAAGAGGCGCCCTTGAATTTTCAAGTTTCCCGTAAGCACCCTCTCAATTTTCACCTATTTCCAGAAGCGCCCCTCAATTTCCACTCTGTTTTCATATGCGTCCCGTTTGATTAAGCACCCCCTTTGAATAAGCGCTCCTCAAAAAGTCCAAAAAGATCTTACGCGAGCGGTTATCCACGCTAGTACAGTGTTATGGAACAGTCATTTATTTTCTGGTGGTTGTAGTCGAATTATTAGTGGCCCATTTACATTGCTATAAAATGAAGAGCAAGTGCATTTACAAAATACATATTTTGTTTTCTTACAGACTATTAGCCAATACCAGTTGGCTATGACCCCCAATGGCAATCTGATGATGTTAGCTGTATCAAAAGCAGATCATCATGTGCCAACAATGGAACAGAACGAACAGAACCAGCCAATGACTGTGCAGATAATTCCAAAGAAACACATTGCTACTCAGAACCAACCAGTAGGGGCTCAATCTTCACCACCTTTTGGAACTGGAGAACATTTTGGAACTGAAGAACAACAAGTACATGATGCACATCAACCAGTAACCCTCAAGGCACAAGAGCAACCAGCGTTAGTCCAGATCCCTGGCCAAGTAGTGATGGTAGGTGAACAGGGACAAGTACAAACCCAACCACAGGGGAAACTAATGCTGATCCAAAATCTGGGGAAACCAATGATGGTCCAAGATCAGAGGCAACCAAGGACGGCAAATCAAGATCAGGGGAAATCACTGTTTTAACAGTCATTGTTTGTGGAAGGCATTGTTCAGGGCCAGGGACAGCCAACCAATCGGAAAGTCATGATTCCAGGACAAGGTCCATCACTTCATACGGTGACCCAATTTCAGATGCAGATACAAGCTATTGGAGAACCTGCTGATACTGGATAAGCAATGTCATTAGTAGCTGGAAAAGATGCTGTAATCCTTTAATACATTTTCTGTATTAAAAAGTATTACCTCAATAACCAGAGTATGAATATCTAGATGTTAGAAGGAATATGAACAGGATGAGTCAACTACAGTGTAATCCGACTTATGTATATGCATAACAACAACAAAATCAACAACAACAACAACAACAACAGCAACAACAATAATAATAATAATAATAATAATAATAGGCCTAATAATAATAACAGTTGGAAATTACCATTATTGTAATTTTATTATTATTTTTATTAAATTGTCTAAAATACACGTTGCTCATCAGTCTGAAATACATATTGATCATTAAAGTAATATTTTGCTTAGTCTCAATATTTAAGCATATTCAGTATACTGTTTCAGTGTTGTTTAGAATTAGACGAAAGCTAAGTATTATTACACAGAATTTTATAATTGTGCTACTATTTTGTAACTGATTGTTTTATAAGATTATAAAAATAATAATATGTCGTTTATATATATGCGCCTAATGCCTTAACTACAGCATGGTTTGTTCCAAATCGTCATTGTGGTACATTGATAAAATATCAATGTTAAATGTTAAATGTGTTTTATATAGAATTTTATTATGTTTAAAGGATTATTATATAATCTAAAGGACTTAATTAAAGTACATTAAATTAGACTCGTAACACTCTTCCTCAAAGTTTAGCCCACCCACTTTTTCTACTGGGGGCCCTGTCCCCACTTTTGTGACTGTTCCCAGCACCAGTGACAAACATTCTGTACTTAGGCATATGATGGGATTGGGGGTTGGGGTAGGCACTATTAATGGAGCGACTCTCTACATCTTCGTGCTAACCACGAAGATGTAGGCCTATAGTAAGTGTAACGGATTGACTTACTGTAAACCTTCAAACACACATTTAAACTCCATCTAATTTAACGAAAACAATAAGATAAGTAATTAGGCCATTTTTGAAAATAAAGTTCTCTGAAGGTCAACTACAGAATTTACAGTACACTGTAGTTAATAATGTTATAAGTTGTAAAAACTGTATTGAGTAAAAAAAATCTTTCGAATAAAAATATCTTTCGCTTGTTATATTGAACAGTGGCAGATTTAAGGGGGAACCCTGTCAGCACGGCCACAACCTCCTATTTTTTTTTTTAAATTATAAAAAAAAAAAAAGGAGAAAACAGACAAAATTGTATTCAACTTTTAATCTGAGAGTGCCATTTCCGGCCATCTGGAGTCTGGAAGTGCCATAATCATATTTTTTTTCTTACCTTAGCTCCAACAGTTGTGCGGATGAGGTGGGTGCAGGCGCGGATCCAGGATTTCCCCTGACCTTCGCTTAGATGGGGTGGTTCTTGCAGTGGTGGATCAAGAAATTCGAAATAGAGAGTGCCCAGAGAGGTACCTTCACAGATAGATACCTCAGCAAGAAAAAATAAGATTACGTCGCCTAAAGATGGAAATGGCACTCCCAGGATTTGAATATAACTTTCAATTTTGTCTCCATTTTAACAATGATTTTCAAACATTTACGGGGGCCCGGGCCGACTAGCTTCCCTTTGAATCCGCCACTCTATGGGGGAATCTGGGGGCGGATGCAGAATTTGGCGGTAGGGGGTGCATTAGAATCCACACGATCTCAGGCCCACTATGGTTGCAGTGTCGAATCCAGAAATTTTGAAGGGTTGGCACATTGCTAATATGTTACGTCCTCGTCCACCTCAACCTCACCATGGTTGGGGCTGAGGTGAGGAAATTTTAAGAATGGCACCCCTGTGATCGCAAAGGGCACTCTCAGAGATGGTAAAAAGAAGCTGTCGTAGGACTAGTGGTACTATGGCCCAATTTCAGTGGCATTTCATAAGTTAAGCAATGTTTCCATACGAATCAATAAAGGGCGTTATCCATGTCCGTTTTTGTAAGGTTTTGTCAGAGCAATCAAGTTTTCTATTAAAATATTACCCAAAGATTAGTTGCTGCTCACCACCCCACCAATTTTAAAGCTTGTTCTTGCTAGACACAAATTCTTTTCAAGTATCACTCAATATAAATACTTCTAATTTATGTAAATATGCATCAGCACACGTTATACATGAGCCTACTATAATAACACATAGACCTAAGCGTGATTTAAAAAAAGCTTAAATCCGTAAGTCCCATGCCAGGTCTTTCAGATACAGAAATGTGATATTGTATGGTTCAGTTTGGTTTTTATCGTTTTGCAAGCTCTATAAAGATTTGTTTTAATACTACAGTACTACTAGTAGTAATAACAATAATAATTATGATGACAATGATGATGGTGATAATAGATAATAATATTAATAATATTAAAAAGTGAAGATAATTGTGCTAAAGGCGAAAAAGTAAGTTGTGATTTGTTGATCACAATTATTATAGTATAGTTAAAGCTTAGTAAGCTATGTTAGGCCTAAGTTGTCTTGGATATTAAGTAGATCCCTGATAAAAGATTATGAGAAATTTGTTTTCATTTTGACTATGGTGATGTAATGATGATGAATTTTACTATAAAAGTGTCATTTCCGACCATCTAGAGGTAATATTTAATCAAATTTTTCGGACCTCAGCCCCAACCATGGTGGGGCTGAGGTGGTTGTGAAATCACGGCTTTGAAGTATATAAAGTACATACTCAAAAACAATGTTTATAAGCTTTATCTTGTATGGTACATCACACATAATAATAAGATCTCTGTGGTTGCCGAAAATCGCTGATAAAATATCATGAGAAATTTGTTGGCGCTTCATTTTGAGTAATCAATGCCGTAGCCAGCTATTGGGACAGTTGGACAGTCCCACACAATTTTTCTATTTGGTCCACAAAGAATGGGTCTAAATTTTCTAAAATAGGTCTAGATTATGCTGTTTTTAGCACAAAATGAGTCCTGTTCTTGAAAAATGCGTCCAGATTTCTCATATTTTAAGAAAATTGGTACAGGTTTTTCATATTTTTGCATAAAATTGGTCCACTTTTAAGAAAATGGGTCCACATTATTTGAATTTACGCGTAAAGAGGGTCCACAATGACATTGTTCTGCAGTGTTTGAAAATCCTTTCTACATGCATTGTATATAACAGTGATGTGATGATGATGAATTTAAAAAAAAATATCATCTAGAGGTACTGTACTATTTCCACATTACACGCCATCGAGTCGACATCTGTCTCAGAGTATGTCTTAGTGACTGCTGATGAGGCGGGAGTGCATAAATTTGTTTTTAGGATGTGATCTGGTTTTACATGCCCATTTTTGTGATTATGACTATTTTGGAATGTTTTGAGCAGGTGGATTGAAGGCCCCCTCCACTTAAATTTTTTTAATGGAAAAAAAATGAAGAAAAATATAGGCCCCACTTTCCAAATTTATGTCTGAGAGTGTAATTTCTGGGCTTCTAAAGGTGCCCTAATCATACATTTTCCTCAGCCCCGACCATGGTGGTGCTGAGGTGGGTGGTTCCTCAATCTGTAAAAGTCCCTCCCTGGGTCACCTCTCTACGTACCTCGCACAACGGCTCCCCCCGCCCCCTTTTCAAAATCCTGGCTACATCCCTGCTGAGCGCCCCACCCTTCAGAGGTTAAAAAAAATAAAGTGCCCCTTAAATGTTAAGAAATAACCGACATAGATTTTAATTATTAAAGTGCCATTCCACAATTCGTAACATTTTCTCACCTCAGCCTAGACAGATGGAGCTCAGGTGGATATAGTAATTTTACTAGTTCTTGTATTAAAGTGCCATTTTCTGGCATCTAAAAGTCCCCAATTCTGAACATGTTCTCACCTCAGCCTCATCCATAATGGGGATATATGGATACAGTAGGCCAAATTGTTGTAGTTTCATGTATTAAAGTGCCATTTTCCGGCATTTAAAAGTCCAATTCTTACATTTGTTTTACCTCAGCTTCAACCATGATGGGCGGAGGTGGATGGATTGGTAGTTTCCATAAATTTTAAGTATCCAAGTGCCGTTTTCGGGCATTTATACTAGTCTCAAATTCCTCTGCGCCCCAAAACAATGGTGGGGCTTAGGTAGATATCGTAAATGTTGTATTGTTCGAATGCTATTTTTGGGCATCTAACGTGTCTCAATTCTCAAAATGTTCTCACCTGAGCCCCAACCATGGTGGGGCTCAGTTGAATACGATAGTTTTTAAAATTGTAGGTATTTAAGTTTCGTTTTTGGTACCTATTTAATTAAATGGTTTTTATTAACTTAATTCGTCAAAAATAAAAAGAATTTCTGCGCATCCAGAGGTATAAAATACTTAATTGTATGGCGCTGACGTGTGTGTGGACTCTCATTTCATCAGCACCCACTTCCTTAAATACATTACTATTACTGAAAACAATGATAGGCAAATACTGTACTGTATATTGTTTTTCATGTCAGATAGGCTATTTTAAAACAATGCTAAAAGCACAGTGCCAATGCCAACATAGACACATGGGCGAACCGGGCGAAGGTCTGGATCCGCGCCTGGGGTGGACATTTTATTTGCGCAAAACCCTTCCTGGGTCCCCTCTATTTCGACTTCCTGGACCCGCCTCAGTTGGAGTATCACTCCCGGGCTACATAGAAGGGTAATTTTTATCCATCGGGGGGAAAAGTGAAGTTGTCGTCAAGGAAACCATATCAAGGATAACCCTCATGATAAATAATTCATTGAGATCATGGAAGCAATCTCGACTTCGAATCTGTGACTCATTCAAGGGCGAGGGCTAAATTGTACAATTTTTTTTTTTTTTAATGGAGATATAAGCAAAATTATATTTAAATTTTAAGTCTGTGAGTGTAATTTCCCGCCATCTAGAGGTGCCATAATTACAAATTGTCTTACCTCAGCCCCAACCATGGTGGGGCTGAGGTGTATACATGCTCCATCTGCTAAAGTACCCAGTGGGAAATTCAAGGGGACCCAGCCGGCCCGCCCCCGTCCCTAAATTGTTATATAAAGATAATTATATTCAAATTGTGTCTGGAAGTGCAACGTTACTGTAGTACGCACTATTACACGTACAGTACGATACAATGAATGTACATAAAACTCTTTTGATAGACATTTGACAAATACAAATTTCTTAAAGCAAAATGACTAACTTTTGAAACATTTATTCTTCAAAATGACAAAAACACAAAACATGACAGTCGTACATAGAGAAAGAGACCTACGCAAAAAAGAAAAAATAACAACCAATTATACAAATGGCTTAATATACTATAATATAAATAACTTCACATGCTTAGAAAATCAAAGGCCTACCGAAAATTGCTGATAAATATGTGTTAACAATCAATCCTTTGCCACAGTTATTTCGAATTTCCCGAAAATGGTCTATAAAATCAGTGGTCTTAATAGTTACCACTCATTATATTGGCTTTTTCTGTCATTAATTAAAAATGTTCTTCTGCTTGCAAATTGCAAAACTCATTAAAACTTTTATTTGATGGTCTCACAGAACAACATCTGGGTTTATAAATGTAAAATTTAACTATAAAAATTAGATATTAACATTTTTTTTAAAGTTTATAACTGCAATCATAAAATAGATGCGTCATGGTTTCTCTATTCCCACAAATCAGTCTGTGCTCACAGGTAAAATCGTTTGATTTCATCTAGTCTAGGTTACCGTCTAGGCTTCGGCGGCCACCTGCTACAGCTAAGTTCGTTTCTTGAGCCTTTAAAATAGGTGTAGGATATTCCTATAAAATAATGTTCTGTATCTTTTGTTCATTAGGTTCATTGATTCAAAGAATTCCTTAATTTTCCATACACTATATTAAATTTCAAGTGACTTTCTGTGTTTTCCTTGTACAATTTGTTTCCACATTTTGCACACGAACAGTAAAGTAAACAGTGCACTAACGAAAGAATTAGTGCACGTTTTGGGACAGGAAAATAACACTGGGAGTAAGGGTGATGACGTCACGATTGACTTATATATTAAATTAAGGCTCATATCTGTAGCTAGACTTATTGATCAGGGAAGGGCAGCAGTGTAGGTAGGTGAGGACGAGCCCTAGGGCAGAATTAATTGCCAGGCCTTTTGATGTGAAGCGTCAACCGATGGAGGGTGCAGACTAACCTTGGTGGGGCTAAGGCAGGGAAATTTTGATTATGACACATCTAGGTGGCCGGAAATGCAAATTACAGATTTAAATTCGAATATATAACTTTCTTTTGTCTTCCAAATTCTTAAATATAATTTTGAACGATTCGGGTGGGGGGAACTGGGGCCCTTGAATTTTTTTTTTCTTCAAATAGATTAAGTTGGAAATTATTTTTAAGTATCATTATTAGGCCTATTTATGAATGGGCTCCTAAAAGCCCTCGGCCCCAGTACTTTGCACAGGCTGCACTGCCTATCCCCCTATGCTAGTGGGGAAGGGTGATTACAATTCTGAGGACAGCAAATCCACTCCCAACCTTTGCTACATGATGGTTTAAACTATTATTTATTATTGGAGAAGCCAGGGTCCCGAAAGTTAAGAGGCCTGTTATATTTATCAGCATTTTTTTTGGTACCAGGACAAATGGGCTCAAAATCGGCCCAGCAGGTACCCGTAATAAGCAGGATGAGTAAAAAAAAAAAACAATCAAAACGTCAAAAGGCCAAGCGAACTGAGCTTCACCCAGTACTAAGTCCACACATTAAAAATCATTTCATGATCATACAATTAGCAGTAAAAAAAATAATGATAAATTGGTATACTTTTCAGTATTTCACCATTCAAAAGTGTGACATGACAAAAATGCCTAAAATTTGATGTACAGTAGTAGGCCTATATTTTGTTTAATTGTATTATAAGGACTGAGCTCAATTATGTTACTATAAGAAGTATATTGGAAAAATTTTTATATGTTTATCTTATATTTATATAGTAAGAAAATATTAAAAAATTGGTAATCTTGCATTTTATATTAGTTGCGGCTATTATTAAATGTTATTGGCCCATATGTCAAGGATCTGTCTATAAGGGAAAAGGATTTGTAGTGTATCAAAATACAAAAATGCGTATTTCTTTTGGAAAGACAATTTGATTATCTTATCGCAACCCTTTTTCAAAAACATTGGTATCATATCTTTTGTTCCACATAGTTTGGCCTAAATCCGCTGTATTCTATTTTTCCATGAAAATATCAACATAATATCGTGTCCATTTACTGTGAACTTGCCCAGACATATAATAACCTTTAGACATTAAAAAAGTCTATAAAAACATTTAACATTGATATTTCATCATGCACTACACTATCCACAAAAGCTTACGGTATAGAATACAACATATTGCTTTTAAAGCAATCAATTACAAAGCTACAGTTTTAAAATTCTGTGTAGTAATACTTAGCTTTTTTCCAATTTTAAATAACAGTGAATTGTATACTGAGTATATATTAGACTAAGAAATATATCCCTTTGATGAGCAACATGTATATTGCAGATAATTTTGAATAAAATTATAAAATTGTAATAATAATAATAATTTCCAATTATTATTATTTTGTATACATAAATCAGATTACATTGCAGTTGACTCATCATGTTTATATTCCTCCTAACATCTAGTGTTGTTCATACTATAGTTATTCAGATTATACCCTTTCATAAAGCGAATGCTTTAAAACCAACACAACCGTGTAGCTATTTTTGTGCAGTTTACAATTACAAAAATTGGAAATTTACACAGTCGGGTTTAAGATGCTGCCAGAATCTTGTCCAGCTACCATTGCCATTGCTTCTCCAGTGTCAGCTGGTTCTCCAGTAGCTTGTATTTGTTGTTCAGGTCTTGGTATCTGAGCTTGGGTCACCGTATGAAGAGTTTGACCCTGTCCAGGAATCATGACTGTCTGATTGGTTGGCTGTCCCTGTCCTGGAACCATACCTACTTGCCCCATACCTTGCACAAACATTGGCTGTTGAAACATTGGTTGCCCCTGACCTTGATGTACCATCATTGGCTGCCCCTGAGCTTGGATGGTCATTGGTTGCCCCTGACCTTGATGTACCATCATTGGTTGCCTCTGAGCTTGGAGCAACATTGGTGGTCCCTGTCCACCTACCATCATTAGTTGGCCAGGACTCTGGGCCAACATTGGTTGCCCCTGAGCCTGGACTGTTACTGGTTGTAGTGCACCATGCACTTGTTCTCCAGTTCCAGCAAGTTCTCCAGTTGCAAAATTTGGTGGAGATTGAGTCCCTACTAGTTGGTTCTGAGCAGCAATATGTTGGTTCAGAATCATTACTGGTTGGTGCTGCACCATCACTGGCTGGTTCTGTTGATTATTTACCATTGTTGGCACACCATGTGCTTTTGGTACAGCTAACAACATCACATTACCATTGGGGGTCATAACCATCTGGTATTGGTCAATAGTCTTAAAGCAAAATGACATAAGATATGTATTCTGTAAATGCACTTGTTGATGGGCCACTAATCACCACCAGGCCACAACCACTACTACTTTAATCACCCCGTTTAAACAATACAATTTCACCAGGTTCTCTAAATCACCATCTGCATCATCACCAAATCTACAGCAATCATCACTATTATAATAACTTATCTGCTAAATATAGCAATCTGTAGGCCTATATTGAGCATCTTAGGCATTGCTTGCAGTCAGTAGATGTACTTACTAACAAAAATACTGAATACTATAATACTTTATGTTCATCACGTCTATTATCTTTCATTATAATTAGGAACCTACCTTAGGTTGACAACAGTTGCAGTTTAAGCCCCGGCAACATAGGTAACAACTCAATTGAGAAAGTGAAAGGCCTATGGTTACCACGCAGATTAACGTTTCCAAAACTCCAAATCCCACAGTGAGCGAGTCCACCAAAACCTGTTTAAAGAAAATATAAATCTTTTAGACATTCAAGATATTTAACAAAAGTAATAACAATAACACCTAACAATCACAAACTAGAGCTAGCCGTTGTTAGTACAACATCCAACACTTCTATTACTTTCTTCTAAATGAAATAAATAGCAGTGCAGAATATTCACAAATGGGATATCAGTGGCAGATTCAGGAATTTGAAATACTGTGGAGGGAGTCCAGGGAGGGACTTTGAGGTACGGAGGGTGCAGATCACCTGAATCACACCATGGTTGGGGCTGAGGTAAGAAAATTTATGATTATGGAGCCCCTAGATGGCACCATCTAGGGCATCTTCTTATAATATCACTGAATTTGAATGAATTGCTAAGCATCTTAAATTACTGCTATTTGGTAAAGAGCTCGAAACATTTTTTTTAATTTTATTATTCGGACTTACAGCAAGGAGGACGCTGTGAGTCCATCTACGGGAAGCGGGAAAGAATGGGAGGAAATAAAGTAGTGGAGAACCAAAAGTATTAAGTGATTCATACCTTATTTGTTGTGTTCTTCTCTATATAAGTGTAGCCATTTTCACAACAACCAGGCATACAATTGTAACAATTATTAGGATATTCTGTATAGTAGGGGTAGGGATAGAATGTATAGTAGCTCATGTAAGTAGTTGGTGTTATTTTAGTTTTGCAACTCCAATCGATACAGCCATATATGGAATCGTGATCACTATACCCTTCCGATATATTAGCAGAAGCCCATGTGAACATGTTAATAGACATCAGAAATGCTAGAATTGAAAGCGAAAAGAAACAGGGAATCTGAAATCAAAAGTGAGAAATTATTAGACTACTTTCGTAAAATTACACAGATGTGTATTATTTGTCGTTTATCCGATTTGTCCATTCGAAAAACAACAGAAAAGGAAACTTCCACTAACATTTGGATTCCTGGTCTTTTATAAGCTGGGACAATGGAGCTTCTCCCCCGAAAGCACACTGGTCAAGGATCTGTATTACAGTGCTGTGGTTACATAAACTTGGGGCCCCTGCTGGGCCACTTATTGTATGGCTAGGGGCCTAGGGCTTTGCCTCGATAGCTCATGGGCATTAGGCGTTACACACTTCTCAAACCTCTATTCACATAATTTTGGCAGAGATGCCATGTCTCCCGAAAATCGCGTGTTTCTCCCAATTTTTGAAGCCGTCTCCCGCCCTCTCGATTTTTATTAATATCTCCCGACTTTTAAAAATATCCTGAAAATTTCACGAAAAATGTGATTTCCATGATGTCATAGAGCAATGAAACAAAATTTCCTATCTTAAGCCAATATACTATGGCACTCGCTCAGCCATAAAAATATCATAAACAAGGCCAGAGAGTTGTTATTTAAGTTGTTTATCTAAATAACAACTCCATGACAAGGCAGGCCTAGATCCGTTGTAGAATCGCTTTGTTTATCCTCCATGTTACGATATTTTGCATTCAGCGCCGACCTCATTCAATGAGATGGCTGTCAGTTAAGTAAATAAATTTCAACAAATTAACAAAATAAAAAAATCACATGGGAATGGATGGGGCCCAAGTTTTCGCCACAAAGATTTGGAACTTGAAGAATCGGTGCATAAAAAATACTTTTTCTTTCAAGTAAGCTTCAGTTATTTAATAACAATACTAAAAAAATCATAGTTAATAGGTTTTGGTACTAAGCAGTCTTCCGAAAAATGAAGTTTATTTTAATATCGATCCCGAAATACATGTAGACCTAGGCTCTATCTGCACTGCAGAGTATGCGTGTTGTGTTGGGTGGGCGGGCGTCTGTGTGTAGTGGTGGTAGTGACTCTGCGGCCTTAGGCCTAGTTACGCACGTATAGATGGAGCCTAGCGAGGCAGGATTTAATGTTTTTTCATGGCATTATGTACCAGTTATTATAGGCTAGATATATATAAATGCTGACTTATAACATGTAGTATGATTTACTAACTAAATTAAAATATATATTTTTTTTAATTTCTCAGCAAACATGTGTGGATCTTGCAAGTTGCAATTACCTTGCTAGTAATTCTATGTTCTTTGAGGAGATGTAGTAAATCAGCCATAGCCTCTAATATGCCAATGAAGCAAGCAAAGCCTAGTTGACTGCTGCCAAGAACGCTTTACTAGCAAAATGCTAAATAAATAATAATATTTATAAATTTATATTTTAGGCCAACTGCAATGTGTAAACAAATGTAAAATTGTTAAATAAAAATAAACAAATTGATGAAAAATGTTTGTTTACTTCATTTTGTGTAACACTTTCATGTTGCACATTGCGTCGTAAGGCGTCACAGCGCGTCACTACAGGAGACGATCGCTTCACGAAAAAATCTTCCTATCTTTTGGTTTTCAAACTTGGGATCTCTGATTTTGATAATACTGTCCAATTGACAGTTTATTTTCAATTATAGTGTAGTCGACTAACAATAACTCTGTTTTTTTTTTCAATCAGACAAGCTGTGAAATTTGAGAAGCCTGTGCTGTTGTTATTATTATTATTATGTTACTAAAACATTATATTAAAAATTAGTCAGCCTCTTATGATCAGACAAGTCCTGGAAGAGGTAGAGGTTTGAATTAAATTATTATATACTTTGACCATTTGTAGAGCTGTAATGTTCCTGAATCATTGACAATTTATGCATGGAATATTTAAATACTCTCCATACCTCATAATGCTAAAATACATGGAAGATTAAATTAATAATTAATCTACTAGAAATTATCACTATCAAAATTGTGACACTGTGTCATATCTGTATATCCATGAGAAAATAAAGATTATTAACTGTACACTACAGTATTTCAATTATGCTTGTTTCAGACATTATTATGCAGCCACGACTCTATTTAATTTGTAAATATTAGGAATTTATTTTATTTACATGTTATTTGTCAAAGAAAATTTGATAGTTTAAACAGAACTTTATAGAACAAAAACAAATAGTGAGATAGCTCCAGGCTAGTATTAAACTGTCTATGATTATCCGCCATTAAACATCCGACAACCCAACATTATAATTGGCGCCCCAATCCCCCTAATTTGGGTTGCAAAAAATACAGTAGTTTGAATACCAGGATATTACACAGTAATCAATGAAAGCAGTTCAGTACTTGGGTCTACGTTTTGCTGGCATTCAATACAATACATATTTTAGTGGCCAGCTGTTGATGCATTTGCTTTACTCTTGTTGTTTATCTCTTTGTCAATCCAGTCTTAGGATTGGATTTATTCGGTGTAAACATCAAGGATAGCCCACGAAAGTCTAGAAGAAGACTTATTTCCAGTGGGGTCCTTCTGGTGGTGATTGGGCAGTACACCGGGAGACAATTCCCTACTCTTTTCCGAAGACTGTACTGTGTTCTTTAACGTGCACATGGGCCATAATGCACACATGGAACAATGGCTTAAACGTCTCATCCGAAAGATGGTGCGCTATTGTAACTTGTATTTCAGCCCTCTAGCAGGAGAGGCAGTGATGGGAATTGAACCGGGGACCTAGAGATCTCCACGGTTCAGCGCACACACAGCGGCTACCACCAGATTAGCCGACTGAGCTAAGTTGCTCTCTCTACATTACATTATATTAGTTCTTAATTACAGTATGAAGCACATTCAACAAAAATCGTATAAACCAATGTCACATACAAATATCTATCTATCTGTCTATTTACTTACATACGACCCCTTCTTTGTGACACTCAACAGACCAAAAATACCAGTCACTGTAAATATCTGTGAAAAAATGGAAAATGTTTATAATAAAATACTGTATTAAATGACTTTTAGTTGTTGAAACTGAATCCTGATATTTATAGTTACAACTGTAACAAATTCTAATAGATTAGTCTGATAGGATGGTGGGTGGGGTGAGAGAGGGGAGACAAAGTGGAGGGCTCCGACAAATTTTGGTAGGGTCTAGGGGTGAAGCCATAGTGGAAGTCTACTGGGCACAACCCGGAGAAGAGAAACAAAAATGCAGGTAATAAAAATAGATCCACATTTTTCCTCTGCAATTTAAGAAGAAAGTCCCACCAGGTGTGGCGCCAGGATTTGCCCAATGGGGGCTGAAAATTAGTTTTTGTCTGATGTCACTGACATCGCCCACAATCTCTCGGAATAGGACTGACAATTTAGGGGTGTCAAAGGTTAATTTATTCGACTTTAAAGTCTACTAATAAGTACCAGAAATTGCAAATTTCAAGTGAAGTGCTGCGAAGTACAACTGCATATAAATGTTCTTCGAACAAAATTATTTATGCGAGTCAAGTGAAAATAATGAATAATAAAACTATAACAAATAAATTGAGACACAACCCATTGTCTATATTAGAACACTTCTCATTGGGTAACAAAGTCGTAATTTTTCATTTTTGTCAAAAAGTGTCTATAGTGTGGTGAATTATGGTTTAGGTTTTTTTTAATAAAGTTTCAAAAATTTCTATGTATGTGGAAAATGTAGTTGATTACCAAAGGTTACATTTTTTTATGGGGCAAGTTTCCAAGGGCGGGTTTTCTAGGGGCGAGTTGACTGCTAAAGAGTGTTGCC